ACCTTTATACCAAGTTTCACAAAAATTGAAAAACCCATGACCAACTTTGATTTTTTTGAGAAAATTTGACCCTAGTGTAAAATCAAATTGACTGCAAAAGTAAATATTTTATTTACCATAAGTAAATACCCTGAATAAAAAGTCGGAACGATTTCGGACTAATCGGGAATTTATTCGCAACAGTACGGTTTATTGTGGAGTTTTTCACCCTGAATTCAGTTTAAAATCAATACCGTTTTTTATAACTATTGAATTCGTAATTAGTCCGGTTTAGTCCGAAGTTAGTCAGATCATATGCAACTAGTAAATGCAGAAGTAATCCGGTTAGTTTAACCAGTGAATCCGCAGCTAATCCGAAACAGTCTGCTTATGGACAGGTTTTTGTCGCTCAGAATTTGTCCGGATAAATTCAAACTCAATGCGGTTTGTGTATAACCAGTGAATCCGGAATTAGTCCGATCAAGTCCGAAGTTAGTCTGATAATACGCAACTTGCAAATGTGAAATTATTAAATCCGGAATTAATCTGGTTTTAGTCAGGTTTTTGTCATACGAAATTATAATTATAGTTTAAATTTATCTGCATTTAATACAAATTGTTTTTAATATACAAATTCAATATCATACCAAAATCATTCCTGATTAAGTCTTTGAATTGGATTAAATATGGATTGTTTTGAACTGTCTGTGGATTGTATATATTTACAAATTCTTAAAATAATCAGACTTATTTTCGGACTGGGGCTTTAGGATCGGATATTATTCGGATTGCCGCTGACTATTACCGGATTCTTTGCATAGAGATTTAGGATTGTTCCATACTTGTTTCGTATTAAATTTTTTAACATATTGATTTCGGATTATTCCGTATTCATTTTAGATGAGTTTTTTAACAGACATAATTACGGACTTAATTCAAAGACATTTAAGATTACACCAGACTGATTTAGGATTTACAATTTCACTCGGATTGATGTTATAGATTAATGCGGATCATTTTCGTACAATTATCGGACTAATCCACACTATTATACCCGGATTTAATCCGGATTAGTCCGAAATTTTTAGCAGGGATATAATATGATTCGGGTGGCCGATTATTACTGGATCTTTAGCATAGGGGAGAGTAGGCTACATTGAACCAGCGTCAACAGTGAACCACTTTAATTTTCTGAGAAATGACTGACAAGTAAACCTACCTTGGTGTTACACTCTGATTTTTCTGAAACTTGACACACTTCAAAAACTCGACAAAACCCCCTAAAAGGTAAAAAAATGTGAAAGTGATCAATTAATCAATAAAATTTTTGACAGACCCATATCTAGGGGTTTTCGAGGTCGCTGATTACGAATCTGATATCAGATTCGCAAAATTAAAAATGGCGGATCCAAAATAGCGGACCGAGTTTTTAAAAATTCGTTAATTTTACATAAAATTTGGTATCTGGGGGTTTTCGGGGTCGCTGATTACGAATCTGATATCAGATTTGCATAATTTAAATTGTTTGATGTCAGATTCGTAATCAGCGAACTCGAAAACCCCTAGATATGGGTCTGTCAAAAATGTTATTGATTAATTAAGCACTTTCACATTTTTGTACCTTTTAGAGGGTTTTCGAGCTACGGAGGAGGTTGTTTCAACCCTTAAACCGTCTTCTTTGCCGATAAAAAAATACGTGTCTAATATTTTGTCGAGTTCTTGAAGTGTGCCAAGTTTCAGCCAAATCGGAGTGTAAAACCAAGGAAGGTTTACTTGTGAGTGAAATTTTTTCTTATTCAATATATAAGTTAGTATTACCGAAGCAGACTATGTCTAAAAATTGGCGGCACGTAGTTTTATTATTTACAACGAAAAACTAAAAAAAACTGTTTTTCACATACAAAACAAAAAATTTGGTGGAATTATAATGACGTTTTTTTATTGAAATAGGAATTTTAAAAAATTAGTAAACTTGTGATTTATTTTGCTTAGGGTGTCAACTTCAATATTCCGATGTGATAAAGAATTTTAGATCTTACATAAATTTATTTTAAACAATTTTTGGTGTAAATGTCATGTGTATACAGTGAGTGCGGCATCATTGAACCATCCGAAAAAGCAATGAATTTTCAATTTTAAGAGTGGTAAAGTTGTCTGCTCTACTAATTAGTAAGAAAAATACAGGAAGACATACTTTCATCACAATTGTAAACGAGATAAACTTAAACTGTCATTTTTGCTACCTAACCTGACATCGAAATACATATATTAATCATTAGAAATAGAAAATTTCCTTCCGAATTATTTATTTGTAAAATGGAAAATTTGATCCAATGGAAGGTAGATAAATAACAACAAATAGTGTTATTTCATTTATTTAACGACGTTTCGATGACATTGTTTGTCATCCTCTTCAGGTTAACTAAGAACAATTTTACACCAATTAAAATTTTTTATAGAATTATCACAAATTAGAAAAAATGAAAAAAAATATTATATAATTTTTTAATATAAATAAATAAATTACCTAAAATTATAAATTTAAGTTACATAGTAACAAGTCAATAATTATAAAACTATGTCTTGTCGTTGCGATTAAAATACCGATACCAACAAAATAAGGTGTGAAAATTATAATTCGGAAAACAATGCAGAAAGTCAATGAACTGCGATATAAACATTGTGACGTAGAAAACAAAAGACTGATCACGAGTTCAATTTTCTAATTATAGGAAAATAAATACGATTCAAATATTGTATGTCATTTTTCTTGTTAATGGTAAAATTATTACTTTTTATATGTAGCATTTCAGAAAAACAGCGTTTTTTATAATCAGGTTCACGGTCAAGAATAGAAACATTAGACCAATCAAACTCATGACCAGATCCAGATTGATGAGCATTCACTACAGATGTAACAGATTTATTATTTTTATGCTGATCAATTTGTGTTTTTAATGTGCGTTTCGTTTCACCAACATAACAAGCCGTGCAATTCTTACAATTAAACTTATAAACTACATTTGTTTCTGCCAATTTTTCAGTTTTGTCTTTACCTAATTTAATAATTGATTTCAAATTTTTATTGACAATTGGGATAGTTAGAATATTGTAAGATTTCAAAATATAAGATAAACTATTGAAGTCAGGATAATTAAATGGAATACAAACTTTATGCATTTTATTATAAATGAGAGCGCGGGAATTTTTTTAAATTGTATTATTGATATTATGGCACTTGATTGTATTTTTTCTGATGTTTATGTATTTATTAATGAAGTCAGATGGATAATCATTATCATTTAAAATGTTTTTTACATTATTTAAGTTGTCCTTGTGAAACAAAGAATGCGAAAGTAATATTGCTCTATCTACTAGATTGTATGCAATATTTATTTTTTGTTGAATAGGATGATGAGAGTAATAATTAATGAGTCTACCAGATGCAATTTCTTTCTTGTACCAATTGTACTTAATTGGTTGATCATGCTCATCAATCATTAAAGTAACATCCAGAAAATTTATTTTATTATTTTCTTGAACTTCATGTGTGAATTGTAAGTTCTTATAATAAGAGTTAAAAACACTAACAACTAAGTCAATATTATCCCTATGTACACATAAAATAGTATCGTCGACATATCTAAAGTAAAATAGTGGAGTACAGTTATATTGGTTTTTTAAAATATGGAGACAATTATTTTCTAAGTCATCCATTACAATATCAGCAAAGAAGGGGGAAATCGGTGAACCCATCGGAGTTCCATCTAGTTGTTGATAATATTTATTATCAAAAACAAAAAATGTGTTTTCAAAAAGAAACTTCGTACAATTTAAAATTTCATCGAACGGAATTTTACAATTATTTATCGACGATAGTCTGCGTTCAAGACTCTCTATGACTAACTTTAAGGGAACCTTAGTAAAAAGAGATGTGACGTCAAGAAACAACATAACATAGTTAGGTGGAATAGAAACGTCTTTTAATTTTTGAATAAGTTGGAAACTATTGTTAATATGTGATTTTGGAATTGGAACATTGTCTTTTAGTTCGTTATATAAAATTTTAGCTAAAAGATATGTCGGGCTGTTGACTAATGAAATGATAGGACGGAGAGGTACATCATTTTTATGCACTTTTGGAAGACCATAAAATTTAGCCAACGATGTATTAGTTAGCGTCAATTGATTATTATGGTATCTATATTTTAAAAATTCATTGTCATTTAGGTTCTGCAGAATATGCTTAGTATTTGTTTGAAGTTTTTTTAAAGGGTTAGAATTAAGAAGTTTATAAGTAGAAGTGTCAGATAATAAGTCATACGCTTTAGCAATATACGAAGATTTGTAAAGGCAAACAGTAGTATTGCCTTTATCAGAATTTGTGAACATTATAACTGGGTTCTCTTTTTGAAAATTATTTGTTAACTTTAATTTTTTCATAAAAATCTTATCTTCGATAAGTGTATGTGAAGATTTCTTCAAATTAGTATTCAGATTTTGAGTAACTTTTTGACGAACAACATTCTTGGTATCATTGTCAGAGTCAAGATTATTAATAGATGTTTCTATGTTTTTTAAAATGTTTATAATATCAATGTTAGAACATGATTTCTTTGAACTAAAATTAGGCCCTAACGAAACTACATCGATAACATCCTTGGGTATATCGACATTTGTAAGATTTTTTATCCATTTGCTTTTTTCAGTGCGTTTATAGTGCACGTTATGTTTTAATAATAAATAATCAAATTTTTTAAAATATTTAGTTTTTTGTTTTTGGCGAATAACAGAGAATTTATTTAGAGAAAATTCGAAAAATTTATTTCTGACATTCGCATCCAGATTGCACTTCTCTATAAGAGATTTGATTTTTTGCAATTTTTTGTTAAGAAAAGAAATATGTAAATGAATGTCGTTGATTTCAATTTTTAACAAACTTACAAGAAATTTATTTTTAAAGTTGTTAAATTTATTATAATAATTTTGACTATAAAAAGTAAAATGATTAAATCGCATACCAGTGTTATAAATATGTTGTGGAAAAATGTCATGACTTCTGCAGCTCAGCAAAAATTGTCGTCTAGACATGGATGTGGCCAATTGGTGGCGAGTAGAAGTCCAATCCATGAGAAGTTTTTTCACATATATTCCATAATTGAGTAAAATAAAATTAAAAAAGCTTGGTGTAGCTATAGTTGAAGAGTCCATACTTGATCAGGAACTCAATATTATTAGAAATAGAAAATTTCCTTCCGAATTATTTATTTGTAAAATGGAAAATTTGATCCAATGGAAGGTAGATAAATAACAACAAATAGTGTTATTTCATTTATTTAACGACGTTTCGATGACATGGTTTGTCATCCTCTTCAGGTTAACTAAGAACAATTTTACACCAATTAAAATTTTTTATAGAATTATCACAAATTAGAAAAAATGAAAAAAAATATTATATAATTTTTTAATATAAATAAATAAATTACCTAAAATTATAAATTTAAGTTACATAGTAACAAGTCAATAATTATAAAACTATGTCTTGTCGTTGCGATTAAAATACCGATACTAACAAAATAAGGTGTGAAAATTATAATTCGGAAAACAATGCAGAAAGTCAATGAACTGCGATATAAACATTGTGACGTAGAAAACAAAAGACTGATCACGAGTTCAATTTTCTAATTATAGGAAAATAAATACGATTCAAAAATTGTATGTCATTTTTCTTGTTAATGGTAAAATTATTACTTTTTATATGTAGCATTTCAGAAAAACAGCGTTTTTTATAATCAGGTTCACGGTCAAGAATAGAAACATTAGACCAATCAAACTCATGACCAGATTCAGATTGATGAGCATTCACTACAGATGTAACAGATTTATTATTTTTATGCTCATCAATTCGTGTTTTTAATGTGCGTTTCGTTTCACCAACATAACAAGCCGTGCAATTCTGGTAGACTCATTAATTATTACTCTCATCATCCTATTCAACAAAAAATAAATATTGCATACAATCTAGTAGATAGAGCAATATTACTTTCGCATTCTTTGTTTCACAAGGACAACTTAAATAATGTAAGAAACATTTTAAATGATAATGATTATCCATCTGACTTCATTAATAAATTCATAAACATCAGAAAAAATACAATCAAGTGCCATAATATCAATAATACAATTAAAAAAAATTCCCGCGCTCTCATTTATAATAAAATGCATAAAGTTTGTATTCCATTTAATTATCCTGACTTCAATAGTTTATCTTATATTTTGAAATCTTACAATATTCTAACTATCCCAATTGTCAATAAAAATTTGAAATCAATTATTAAATTAGGTAAAGACAAAACTGAAAAATTGGCAGAAACAAATGTAGTTTATAAGTTTAATTGTAAGAATTGCACGGCTTGTTATGTTGGTGAAACGAAACGCACATTAAAAACACAAATTGATCAGCATAAAAATAATAAATCTGTTACATCTGTAGTGAATGCTCATCAATCTGGATCTGGTCATGAGTTTGATTGGTCTAATGTTTCTATTTTTGACCGTGAACCTGATTATAAAAAACGCTGTTTTTCTGAAATGCTACATATAAAAAGTAATAATTTTACCATTAACAAGAAAAATGACATACAATTTTTGAATCGTATTTATTTTCCTATAATTAGAAAATTGAACTCGTGATCAGTCTTTTGTTTTCTACGTCACAATGTTTACATCGCAGTTCATTGACTTTCTGCATTGTTTTCCGAATTATAATTTTCACACCTTATTTTGTTAGTATCGGTATTTTAATCGCAATGACAAGACATAGTTTTTTAATTATTAACTTGTTACTATGTAACTTAAATTTATAATTTTATGTAATTTATTTATTTATATTAAAAATTTATATAATATTTTTTTTCATTTTTTCTAATTTGTGATAATTCTATAAAAAATTTTAATTGGTGTAAAATTGTTCTTAGTTAACCTGAAGAGGATGACAAACCATGTCATCGAAACGTCGTTAAATAAATGAAATAACACTATTTGTTGTTATTTATCTACCTTCCATTGGATCAAATTTTCCATTTTACACATATATTAATCACCTATGTATATTAACAAATAATAACTATTTAGCAACAATTTTCTATTTTTTTGAGTGGAAAATAAGATTTTTTACAATGTGTAAGTGGAAATATTGTTTTCGAAGTAAATTGTAGTGTTTTATTAGAAGTGGTTCAATGTAGAGACACATTCTTTAAAATGAGAAAAGTGTAACTGATTAGAAAGAAATTAAATTTCATTATTCAATTATAGTAATTCGTGTTTGCATCGTGTATATTAACTGAAGGAATACTTCAGTTTTAATTTTATACAAAAACCTGATCAAAATTTGCAAAATTTAATTAGTTCTTTAATTTAGAAAGAAATTAAATTTCATTATTCAATTATAGTAATTCGTGTTTGCATCGTGTATATTAACTGAAGGAATACTTCAGTTTTAATTTTAGGGGAAGTGCGCCGGTTGTGGGCACCCCTACGTAAACTTCGACGGCAAGCAGACTTTACTGATCTAAGTATTGCAAGTCGTGTTCGTTGACAATACGGACTTTTCGTATTGATAACGAAACAAATATATGCATTTGTGTAATAGCTGTGAGCATAATAAAGAAAATTTGCATTAAATAAATAAAAAAGTAATTTTGTATTGTTTTCGAAGAGCAACATATGGGTGTAGATTCGTTCAGAAAAAAAGGGTTTAATTTTTTTTTTTGCAGTGTTGTCATTATATTTTGTGATTTACCTTCGTGTTTAACCAAAATCCTGCATCACAAAATGTGTTAGTCTTTTTAAAAAATGACTGTCATTCCCGGTTGTGGGCACCTTTATGTTAAGGAGGCTCTACCATCTGACAATGATGAGGACTACTGTCTCATCTATCTAAACTTTCTGCCAAGGAAAGTGACAGCCGCAAACTCCATTAAATGCGATGAATATAGTCGTTTAGTGCATTAGAAGTGCGTTATGTTATGAGTACTAGCTACTTCACATGCAAGCATTATGCTTTTGTTAGCGATGAGCATAGTGTGAAAACGTGTCATCATTTTTGTTCTTTATCCCAGCAAATTCTCTTAAAATAAAGAAACTTTCATTTCTTCTTTATTTGTGTTGGTTTCCTTTAATATTTTTCCATTTTTAGCGGATTTTTCAAGGGTGCCCACAACCGGGTACACAATTTTTTTTGTCAAAAAATTCCCATTTAACTAAATTTCTAATAAAACTTTTTTATTTAAAGGAATCAATTTAATTCCTTCACTGACAGTCACCTTAGACCTCTAGCTTTAAATTCGTACACATATATTTGTATAATATGCACATGGACAAATGTTATGAGGCAAAAACAAAAGGGTGCCCACAACCGGAACACTTCCCTTATACAAAAACCTGATCAAAATTTGCAAAATTTAAAAAATTTGAAAAATTTGAAGTCAAAATTTGAAGTCCAAGGACTTCATAAAAAACCTGGTTCATAATGTAGCCTACTCTCCCCTAGGTATAATTAGGGTATAGATTGAAAGATTGGTATATTGAAAATAGCATTTAAGCCCTAAAATGTCTATTTTTCATGAAATAAAAATAATATTAATTAAATTGTGATACTCTGCACTAGTACCCATTATGAAACAATGGTATCCTGTATGTACGGGTCTTTCAAATTGAATGTCCTGATTATTAAACACTTATTGGATTTAATAAGTAATTAGAATTCTGTTGTTATTCAATAATGGGAATATGAACTATAAAGAATTAAACACAAAGAACAAATTTTAATTAATTTGATAATTATAAAACCAATTTTTTTGGTAGAAGAGTAATGTGGAAGTACTGAAAATATTTAAGGTTGTGTTTGCTGTATATTTTCTGTGTGTTTCATCAATCGGAACATGAAAATAATAAGTGTACCTAATGTGGAACGGTAATTTAACGGAAAACCTAGTTTATCTTAATTTAAAAGCTAAAATGCAATTAAACATTTTTTATTCTGTTAAATACTATACAGAAATAATCATTCTCATATCGAGTAAAATTTATTGAAATAGCTAGAATTTTCTTATTACCAATTTTAATTGCATCTACAGTCAGGTCTCCAAACTGTAACATTTGAAAGTGCTATACAAATTTCTAACTGTAACAACTAGTTACACCCACATGACTTGAAACTGTAATGTAACGTCACAGAACGTCATAAACTATCAATTAGATGAAAAATTTTTTTTTGTGGATTCTTAATATATTAATTTAAATAATTTGTAGGACAGTTTTTCCACAATTGTTTGTTTATTAACTTTTGTTGTTAAAACAACGTTTCGGTCGTAGCCACTACCCTTATCAAGTTTAAATTAAAAGCACTGAAATCTTTTTTTTTTAGAGTAACAATTGATTTTATAATTTTATATACTTATATAAAATCCGGAAAAAGTGTATACTTACATAAAGCATTGTCAAGAAAATAATTAAGTTTTTGTAAAATAAAGTATTTTAAATATTATATCATTTTGGTTCAATTAATAAAATTTTTTTTTCCTTTTTGTTGTTATATAATTAAAATTTAAAAGGATGATTTTTTATCCCTATATTGTATATAGTGATAATATAGAAATTTCAGATATCAATTCTATAGAGATTTAGGGATTTTAATACTACAGAGATTGTATGGATGGTGGTAATGTAGGTAACTGGGTTATCATATTATTATTATACATTATTTAAAAAACCCTGGTAGATGTTACCTAACTTTTTGATATCTGTTTTAAAATTTATGGAATGTTTTTCTTTTACTATAAATATCATTTCTAGAAACTTTCTTTTATGATAGTTTGATTCTGTATTCAAAATTGTTACTTTATTGAAATCTAAATTATGTTTGTTTTCGGAAGCATGCGTAGCTAAGGCTGTATTCGTTTTTTTATTTTTAACATCTCGAGCATGTTCTGTCATTCTAGTTTGCAGAAATCTTAATGATTCTCCAATGTACACACTATCACAATTAAAACATGGTATTTTATATATGATGTTAATTTGTTGTTTTTTTCAACTTTATCTTTAGTTGAAAATAAAATATTTTTTTGAATTGTATTTTCGATCGATTGAACTATTCTTATATTGAATTTTTTAAAAATGTTATAGAAGATATTTTCAAGGTTTTTGATGTATGGTAATGAGATAGTTGTTATATTCTCATTTTTATGTGGATTAATATTATTATTTTTAGTTGTTAAATAGTTATATCTTTCTTTAATTTTTTTTGTTCAGTATGTCGATTAGAAAACCATTTTTTAGAAGAGTTTCTTTAACGATTATAATATTTTCTTTATGGAACTTTTCGTCTGCTAACTTGATTGCGCGATCAACTAGAGCGATGACAACACTTAATTTATATTTTAAACAATGTTCAGGACGATACATAAATTACGATTCTGAACATTGTTTAAAATATAAATTAAGTGTTGTCATCGCTCTAGTTGATCGCGCAATCAAGTTAGCAGACGAAAATTTCCATAAAGAAAATATTATAATCGTTAAAGAAACTCTTCCAAAAAATGGTTTTCCAATCGACATACTGAACAAAAAAAATTTAAGAAAGATATAACTATTTAACAACTAAAAATAATACAATCGAGATTTTTGTTGGCCTAATATTTGCGGTGCTTCTAGAGCTCGCAATCCCTCAGAGCGGGATCCCAC